GCCCCCGGGAGATGCGGTCCTGCAGGACGGTGACTGATCCTTATTGCGCAATACTTAAACAGGCCGCGAAAACTTCTACGAATGCATCTCTCCCACATACGCACATGCACATATGTACGCGTATAGCGCTGCGTGGCACCAGCTCTGAGGATTTCTCGTGGGGTTTGTCTGATGGATGAAGGGAGACGCTTCCTTAAGCGGAGCTGTGCTACGCTTCATCTCTAGCCCAGCAGCTAAACCTGCGCTTTGCGCCCACCCTGCTTCCCTTCTGCGCAGAGGGAAGGTGGTTTTAGGGGTCCCAGAGCCACCGCGAGGGGTGTCCCCCGGCTTCTTGGGGGGACGGAACGATTGATGGAGAAAATGGGATCAGCTCGACTGCAATTAAACACTCATCACCCTCAAAGGCTTTCTTCTAAAGCACCATGCGGCCCTGCTTGTCAAGCATCTCCACTTGCGGTTATGAATTAATAGACAGGACTAAGGAAAATGATGCAGAGTTTTAGGCACACAAAGGGAAACAACCAGGAATGGAAAGTGGCAGTTTCCTCCAAGTTGGCTGGATATAGACCTGAACATTCACAACCCAGAAAAACACCAGAGAGCAACAGAAATGTAGTTGAGGACACCAAAAGTGTGTTTTGTTGCATTAAGAGGTTTAGAACAGTGGTATTTAGAAATAAATAAATAATAAAACCCCCAGCGCTGACTTGAATACAATATGAAATACCTGTAACTACCAGTAGTATTTCAAAAAGTATTCTGGATTTATTTTTGTTACCATAGCACAACTGCAAATTTATTCGTTAAACCTAAAGTAAATCCTAAACCAGTCAGAACTTAACTCAGATTCTGTTGGTGCATTACAGGAGTTAAGATGATTATCAGTCAGCTCAGGATATGATGATTTTACCTCTGTTTAAGCCATAAATAAAAGCAGAGAGATGGAAGATGCTTGTGTGTTATTGTATGCAACTAATTAAATGAGAAGCCACTCAATTATTCGTTAAACCTAAAGTAAATCCTAAACCAGTCAGAACTTAACTCAGATTCTGTTGGTGCATTACAGGAGTTAAGATGATTATCAGTCAGCTCAGGATATGATGATTTTACCTCTGTTTAAGCCATAAATAAAAGCAGAGAGATGGAAGATGCTTGTGTGTTATTGTATGCAACTAATTAAATGAGAAGCCACTCAATTAAACTTAGCAAATTTTGCATTGAGGAACTGGGAACAAGGAACTTAACTTCAGTTGTAGCTGAACTTTTTTATCTGTTTGCCCTTCTGAAATCTGTATGAGGAACTGGGAGCAGAGGATACATTTATCTATCATCACAGATAAATGGTGTTTCCAACTTGGCCTGAATTTTCCACCTTACATTCTTTGCATAGGTGATGAGAAATTACTTTAAACAGCAACAGGAAAGAAAAAAAAAATCCAGCCGTGGAATAACTTGCACAGCAACTTTCGGGTGGTTTTTTTTTTTCCACACGGGCAGGGGGCGCAGAGAAAGATGCAGTCACAGCAAGGAAACGGTGCCAAAGGTTCTCTTCATTAAACATCCAGGCAGCAAAGCCCACAAAAACACTGAAGGAATCCTACAGCGCAATTATAAAGAGCCTGTCAGCGTAGGCCTGGACAAAAGGAGGACTAGATTAGTACTGAAGGAATCCTACAGCGCAATTATAAAGAGCCTGTCAGCGTAGGCCTGGACAAAAGGAGGACTAGATTAGTTGCTGAAGGAATCTTACAGCGCAATTATAAAGAGCCTGTCAGCATAGGCCTGGACAAAAGGAGGACTAGATTAGTTACATATTGTGTTGGATGTGGTAGGTTTTTAACCATATGCTGAATTCATAGATGTTCGACGAGGCTTATTTTACCTTGCCAGAAGTCGTAACCAAGCATCAGTATCAAACAGTCAGGATCTGAGTCAGGAGAAGCCAAGGGAATTCAGGCTGAACCTGAAGGACAGCGGCCAAGGGAAGGACATAGACCTGTGACAATCTGCGTGTGCGTTGCACGGGTCATAACCGCCACAGGAAGGATTCAGGGGTTGGGCGTATCGGCAGTTACTGGTACACCTACCCAACACCGCTGGCGAAGTGCTGTCTTTGAAGTGGGATCTTGACAGTCGATTCTCTCCCACTTTCTCAGTGAAGATTTCTACAGTCTGGCAGTGCTGACAAACATAACTGAGTCTTGTTTTCTTCAGCAGACTTGGCTGCTTCACTTTCCATACCCATCCGGAAAAAGCTTCGGGTTTGGGTGGGGCGAGGAGACCCACTGGATAAGCACTTCTTCAACTGCATGTAATGAAGAGTTACAACGCTTGCAGTAACGCTGCATCTGGTAACTTTAGGCAGCGTGCCACACGCTAAAAAAGCTGCCTGAAGCAACAGGAGGACCCTTTTCCTGTTACAAATACACACGCATTGGTACAACGGCGGCGACACGTCATTCCCTCTGCCTGGTTACCTGCTTCACATGCGCAGAGATCGCAGGAGTCCCGTGCTTGAATCGGAGGCCGCAAACCCTCACGTGAGCGCTCAGAAGTTGACAGAAAAGCATTGTCCTGTATCTCAGCCTCTCCCACAGTAAGCAATAATTATAGTTCTTCTTTAACAACCCAAGGGAGAACCGCTCCCTGGGACAAGTAAACTCATGCTCCCAATTCCTGGTATCCGTAGACCTTCAGCTGCTATCACTTAGCTGGAACATACAGACCCTGGCAAAGTACCAAGCCTGTGACCATGAGAGTCATCTGTCCTTAAAAATACACAACAGACTTACAGCACTGCACTAAGTTCTAGTTCCACTAAATCTTTTTTTTCACTGGTCCTTCTGACAGATTATGAAATTTCTATTAAAAAAAAGCACATCACGTTTTCTCCTCATGGTTAATACTGAGGAATCCTCGAAATGGAAATGTTTTTAAACCACTCCAGCAATTCACACTGCTGTTCAGACTTCTGTGAGGGACAACACAAACTTTTTTTGCTTCTTTAGATGTTTTGTAGGGGCCACGCTCTATTTGTTTCTCTACCTTGTACTACTGTGGAAGATCCAAATGCTGCAAGGCACTAGACAAAGATGAGCACACAGAGAATCTACTACTATGACTTGTAAAGAAAAAGCAGACTTTCTGTACAAGCAGTAACTAGTCAATAATGGAAACATTCAGTTGGAACCACAATATACTGGTTTTCCTCATAGGAGCTACTAATCCTGGATGTCAAAAAGAGGAACTGACTATGGCAACGCTAGTCACATAATTATTGCTCAAGTCTTGGCAAAGAGTCCCATGTAGCACTTCAGAGCAGAAGAGGCAGTCAAGTTGTTTATTAATGACAATGAAAACAAAATAAAAGTGGTAAAGCAAACAGACTTCTTTAAATAAAAAGTTTCTAGTAATCTGGTGTTCTGTCAGGCTCCTTTTTTTTTTTTTCCTTTTCTTTTTTTATTCAGGCGTAGGTACAAAAATCCATAGAGGATTTAGGGAAACATGATACTTCAACGTAAATTTGTCACCTGTAACAGAGTCTGAACAGCAAACAGCATATAAAGAAAAAACTCAAAACGTATTTACAAATTCATACTTTGTAGTCACTGAGAAGTTTCTTGGTTACCGAGTGGCAGATTATGCACATACACTACATTCCAGAAGGCATTATCCAATCAGAGTCACTTAGCATAAAATTAAGCCGAAAGACAGATTGTCTAAAAATAAGGCCAGTTTCATTCCTAATTTATGCATTTGATGACCAGAATTTTCTAGTACTTCTATGTTAATAAAAAAGAGCATAAGAGCACCTGATCTCACCCAAGTGGGATACGTAGACCAAACTGCAAGTTTCATTCCTAGCAGGAGTTATCAAGAGTAGAAACTCATGAGAAAGGACAATAGTATACACCTTTTTTTTGCCATCTTGTCTATTGCTAATTTTAAATGCTTGTATAAAAACAAATCCCCACACCATATTTGCAATATGACCATAAATAGGCAATAGTTTAAAAATGTCAGATGTGATTACCTCGGACTATCAAGCTGTTTCACACTTCAGAAAAGTGAACAAAGCCCAAACACCTTTCTCTTCTTCTCCCTCCCTCCCCTTTCCTCTCCCAAGCCCCCCAACCCCTTCCAAACCAGGAAAAACAAAAGTTATACTCTGATGAATATTAGAACTGGCACCAACATTCATGCTAGTTGCCCTGATGTGCAACAGGAAGTTCATTTACAATAGTCAGAAATATTCTTATGCACTAGCCCCAAAGAGTTCAGCTTCTGAGAACAGTTTATTTTGTTTTGAAAAAAATCCCATCAGGTATGACGTGGGCAGCGTCCAGAAGGTGCAGGAATGTCCAACACTCTACGTCGATCTTCATATTCATCAGTGTCCGTGGAATCTTCGTCTTCATCCACTGCATATTCATTATGATTTGTTTCCTAATACAAAATACATCCATATTTAAGTAAAAACTTCTATTCCAGCTAGTTATAAGAAAGCACCATCAATTGCCTAGAAAAATCTGGTCTGCATTATGGCATCAACTAGCTGAAGCAGACACTGTGATCTACGTATCTACGTCCTAAAACCAGCTCCTTACAATCACAAAGTTTAATTTGCAGTAGAGATCATTTCGCCAAACCACTTGACCTTTAAGTCAGTAAATATCCACGAGCCATCATTATTTCATATGCAATACTATGTAAAGCCACAATTCAGTATCTTAGCTTGTGGGATGCCATTTTCTGAACGAAGCACGACATCTGCTGGCACTTGCTGTTAGAGCTACTGGTAACGAGTGCCTCAAATCCCTGGAAAAATGTGAAAAAGCATACAAGTGGATGTCTGCCCCTGAGGAAAGACTCAGTGCCTGCACAAAATCATCCAAGTTCTATCTGAATTAGTCACTAAATAAGGGCTATGCTAGTGATAAAATAAATAAAGCATTCTTCTCTAAACATGTGAAAGCAAAGGGAGAAATGATACAGTTAGCCTGCAGTCTCCAAACTAAAACTACATTATAATTAACAGCAAGCTCTCCTGTGAAAGCTAGGGTCGAGGGTCTTGAATTCAACTGGTAGCATTGCATGTCAGAACAATGAGGATACACGGCTTTACCCAGGTACAAACTGCCAACAGAGATTGCTACGGTTGGTAGACTCAGTCGTAATTGGTGCATGTTTTGTATGGAGTTATCAATATGAATACTGTTCAGTACTGTAATTTTTGCACCAGAAGTGTTTTCTTATTGATAAACATTCCAGAAGCTGAAATAAATTCATATAGACTGATACTTTTAGATTTCTTTTTTTTATTATTTTTTTGAGAAACGGTTCTGAAAAAAAAAAAAGAGGTGATTTTCAAGAAGAGAATCAAAACTGGAAAATGACATGACATGGAAGTTTAAACACAGCTACACTATCCTATTAAAGTTAATCCAAGTGCTCTCAGAAAACAAGGGTCAGGGGAAAAAAAAAGAATAGGCTAAGCACAACTGCATCTCCACTTACCATTCGTGCTGTAGACACCTTGAACGTTGGACACACCATGTGAAATCTGGGAATTGTGACATTGAAGAATTTGTCCTTGTAGTAGAGGCAATGGAAAGTGTAATACCCCTCCATATATCCAGATGTTGTGGAAAACGTCGTGCAGCTGGTGTATTCATAGACTCTCCCTGGACTGATAATTGGAAACTCCCCTGTTGGTAAGATATTAGATCACAATAGTAAGGACTGAAATAGAATTACAATTCTAGCAGTTACTAAATAGTCATTTAGCAGTTTGCTGAAGGACTTGCACTCCACAACATATTCAGGCAGATCATTTTATATTCCAGTGGATGCATAAATAATTCTCAGCAATTACTGATGTTAAAAAACTGGCG